TGTAATCCATTACAAAAATCAGTGACCAAAAAGAACCGAATATGCATTGAACTTTATCAGAAATAGTAAATATTTTACTATTTAGTGCTGTATCATGGAGCACTTTGGATTTGCATGTTCTCTCACTCAAAAAGAGCAGAAGCACAATAATCTAACAGATTTTGTCCTTTATGTACACCACCATTTTGCTCTGGCACCACATCGGTTTTCTAAATTACCTATGGATTGACTCCATCTGGAGAGCTGCTTTGAGGATTCTGGAAAGTAGAAGAGAGACATGGGATTGGGTGGAGATTGATCGCAAAGATACTCCACTGAATTCCTTCGCCCATTGAGTTGAAGATCCAAACCACTGGTCTGTGAAATCTTGGCAGGAAAACAGATGACAGCCAGGTACCAGTGAGCCCTGAGGAGACATTGCACAGGAGGGGCTCTTATTAAGACATGCTCTTTATTTTACCTAACCAACACAACCTGAAAGTCTGCAAGAATGTTTTTAAATGATCACCAAACGTGCAGGACATGCAGCTTTGTTGAGAGACTCACATTTGATTAATCGGGACAAATATGAATTCCTTCTCAAAAAGGTTGACACTCCTGGTCCACGTTTTTACCCGACTGTGCCGGCGCTCTTGAATGCTGCAATACAGTGCAGTGTTAATACCCATTATGTTTATGTACTTTTTTACAAGACCATATTCTATACATACGATAAATCTGTAGTTCCTGGAAGCCTTCTATGATCTTTCTGAGTGAGGCGCTTGAAGAAGAAAGAGCTGAACACATGGCACTTGGAGGCATCCTCCTTTTCCTGCTGCTCACAGACCAAATACCTGGCCAAAAAACAAGATGTATGTCATTACGGTGCCAATGGACTGAAGCAGATAGCAACTTCTACAATCTCAATCACTTTAACCTTAGATAGAAGTCTATTATCACATCGTTTAGGAATTCTCCTTCCTCAAGACAGTTGAGGTCATCCTCTGTGATGGTTATTCCCCCTTTGGCTGGAGGAGGTGGGTACACAACCAGTCTGCAAAGAGATGGTGAGAAGAGCTCTTCTAGATAATATCACAATAACCGATCAACTCATTTTAGGTCAGCCAACTAACTTTTTGATATCCTGTTTGGGTGATGAAGGGAGCTCTATCAAATCGTCCTCATCACTGTCTGAGACACTGAGGGCTGCAATTTCCCATCGATGAGGATCAGCAGAGGCCGAAAATGGCACCAAGCCATGCTAAACATTGAGAGAAAGAACTAAACAACTGAAAAACATGATAAGGCAGATTTATTTTGCTCCATTACATAACTGGTGCTCAAAGATTTAGATTTTATTGATTCTGTGGTAATATGAAAGGAAAGGTAAGAGAAAAACAGAGTAGAAATAAAAGGACAGGAAAGGATAAGAATAAGGAAGCACGAAGAAAAAGATCATAAAAGGAAAAAGGCAATAAAAGTTTAAAAGAAAAAGGAGGAATTGAAAGAAAAAACGGAAGGACAAGTAAAAGGAAATGAAAGGGAAAAGGAATAAAAAAATAAAAGGGAAAAGGAAAAGAAAGTAAAGGGACAAAGGAAGGGGAAGCAAAAGAAAATGAAGAAGAGAAAGGACAAGAAAAGGGAAAAGGAAAGGAAATAAAAAGAGAGAAAATTGAAGTAAAAGGACATGAAACTAAAAGGAGAGAAAATAGAAAAAGGAAAGGGAATTGGAT